GCTTCATTTTGGTGTCATCCAATTTGTAGTTCGTATCTTCAGCTCTTCCTTTTGCTGACAACCATACATTCTGACGTCTTACAATTGATGGTTATTCCTTCTTGCCTTCTTTTCCTACTCTGGACTACTGCGAATGAAGACCTTTTGAAAAAAATCTATTGACTTGAACGTATAGCAAAGCATCTGAGATGTTTAGCAAAAGTTATTGTGTAATGTTCAACTGTCTTAGAACATCTGAAGCAAATGGAAAAGTATTTGGATTCTTCATGAATTACCGCTTGAGAATCGAACACTAATGTCCTCCATGAACGGCAGTCGTTTATCACTGAATTCTAAATTTCCATATTTGGATCGCAATTTTACGATGGATGAAAAATGGGTTTTGTACACCACCCCCGACAAAAAAACGAAAAGAGTTGGTAATTATTAAACGAGTAACTAATGAGAACACTAAAATCAAGTCTCCATCCACTATTATCCTTCTGTCTGTTTGAGTATGACAGCTGACGTTCATTACGATCTAACGGACCATGGAAGGACCATCACTGAAGACGTTTTTTTGCCAGCAATTTAATTATATAAACGAAGCATTATGTTAAAAATAAAATTTCCCAGCATAAAAATGCAATGGTAGACACTGCAAAAGAACCCTAAGAAAAAATAAGATAGTTTAGATGGAATGTTCTTGTATATTCTCTATATTCAATAGGTTATGTGCCTATTGAATTTCATTTTTTTCAATCAATAGAAAAGTAATGAAGTTCTACCAGAAATGATATAAAAACATATATATATATATATCCTTTCTGGTAAAACGTCATTACTTTCCGAACACACGAATAATATTTAAATACATTTAATTTATATTTACTTCTATATCCTATCTGGTAATACGCCATTGCATTTCAAACAGCCTTATACAACGAATATGATACCACGAGCATGAACAATGCTTGGTTTGACAAGCACGAAATACGTTTATATTTTCTCTATTTCGTATAAATAAAAGCGGCGACAAACACACGGAAAGATTCTTCATATCTAAAAGACTTTAGTAGTAGTAGTAGTAGTAGTAGTAGTAGTAGTAGTAGTAGTAGTAGTAATATTCATAATGAATCTTAAAAATTTGAATTAAATCTTACAATTTAGCCGGTGATTATGCTCCTGGGGTTGGACAAGCAAATAAAGGTCTTAAATGTTATTTTATTTGTTGAGGTTTCTGCGTGTATGGACGTATTCAGGAAAAAAGCACAATAGATCGAAGGCAATTTGATTATAGAATTGAAGATGCTTCATATCAAAACCATCGAACGTGATGACTCGCTCGAAGCCTTGACAAAAATAAGATGATTACAAAATAGAATGAATAAGCTGAAAAATAAATTCTGTCTGCGAACGAGAAAAATGTGACGGTAGGTGGGCCACTGTAAGGTTGGTGACAGTGATTGATGGGCTAAAAAAAAATGACTAAATAGAATTATCTGTAAAAAAAAAATAAATAAATGAAAATACATTAAATATTATTAGTGATTTCCAATATCAAGAGAGAAATAAATGTTTCGATAATATTCTAAAATCATTTTATACGAAACAAGGTGCACTGGAATAGAGAATGTTGCTTCCCAAATGCTAAACAAAAAATATAAAGAAAATTTAATTAGAAAGAAAAGAGTACGGAAGTGCTGTGTAATATAAAGCTTCCTTTATAGCAATGGATGCTGAACAATGTTCACATAAATGAAGGGGAAAATTGACGCAACAGAGATTTAGATATACAGATGAATATCGATTATACGATGAACAGAACATTTGAGCTACGATGAAGTTTTAAAGCAAAGGGGAGGAAAAAGAGATAATGGGCTTAAGATAAAGAAGAAAAAGTTGGCATATGTGGAACAAATAATGAGAAAAGTGTGCTTGGAGAATGTTGCATTTACGGTGTATTTTGAAAGCAATATGTGCAAAGTGGAACATCCCAACGAGCTTCTACTGGTAAAGGATGGACGCGGGGTGATATTAGTGGGACAGATATTGGTTAGGGATACAAAAGATATGATGTTTAGGGCTATATTCACTCATTTTCTGCTGGGTTTTAAATGACATATAAAAGAATATGTAAAATGATCTAGAAAGGTAATTCTCGTGGTGTGTTTGGGACACACACACATCTATCTATATCTATCTATCTATCTATCTATATATATATATATATATATATATATATATATATATATAATTTATATTTAGGCAGCATATTTTCATTGAAACAGGTTTGGTTAAATAATTTACACATATGTCGATTAATTTTCGTTATGATCCTTTTAAGTTTGGTTTGGTAGATTTAGAAAATTGAGTAAGAACAATACGAAATTAAAAATATAAATGTCGACAATTGACCCATCATATATATATATATATATATATATATATATATATATATATATATATATATGGAGAGAGAGAGAGAGAGAGATATGTGTGTGTGAGAGAGCGAGAGAGAGACAGAGTAGGATTAATACAAATATAAAATTACCTCTACTCCGGAGTTTCATAGACAAATCTTTGCGAAATTCTTCACTCCATTCGTAGTGCTCTTCCTGGATAGACTAGGCATTGAGTACTGTAATTTATTTTTAGATTTTGTGTGTGTGTGTCTCTCTCTCTCTCTCTCTCTCTCTCTCTCTATATATATATATATATATATATATATATATATATATATATATATATATAGGGGTGGGGGTCATTGATGTTGATATCCGGCGGCGACTGTTTGTTTTATGCGTAAACACAATCTTAATGCCTGAACATTGCGTTTAAGCATGAAACAGCCTGTTACCGCCGGTTTTGGCCTCAATGCCCACTTTTATAATTGCATACGTTATATCAATGAAATTGAGCGCTTTAACCTATAAATATAGTATAACTTAAAAATATTTTTTATAATATCTATCTTCTTGTCAAACGACATTTGCTAGACTGACGTTCAACTGCATACTCTTCCATGGTAAAGTAATAGTGATTACGGGCGCGAAGGTACAGGCTCTGCTGAATATACACACACTCTAGCGTCTGGGGCCAAAATATTAATATAATATGTAATTTTTCGAAGTATATCCCATGAGGCAAAGCTTTATGGCATCCGCCATTTTTATTGTTCATTTGGCTATATATTTTTACTGTTCATTTAACGATATATTTTTTTTTGTAAAATCTATCAAAATAGTAATTTTAAATTAATGATGTCAAAATATTTGCATGCAAAAAATTGAAAAGAAAAATTCCATTAAGATGTTCTGTGAAAGGATTCGAATATATAACTAGATTAATCAGTGTAACACCATTCATTTGCATATGTCATTATCTTCAAGGTATTTTTTTTTTTTATTTCTGACTTTTTTATCACGAAAATCTTATCAGCCATAGTTACTGTACTGGAAGGTCTCATATACATGTTAAAAGTTTGTGAAACTTGGTTTTGAGCAGAACCTCTTTCTTTTATGTGTCATGTCCCTTCAGGACGTTGGCGTTCATGGCGCTACACATCTTCCTCTCCCTTTTAGCTCGAAATAAGTTTTGTATTTTTGCTATTTATCCCAAACCTTGCATCCATTTATTCAAGTCCATCAAGCATGTTACGCCCTGATTTCCTCTGTCCCTCTTTCCTTCTATCTGTCGTGTGAGTATTAGATTTTCCAAGCCCTCCTTCCTCATTACGTACTCCAGAAATATCAACTGCCTCTTCCTGATGTTAAGTATAAGCTTCCATTGTGTGTCGGTTTTCTCTAAAATCTCATCAATGCTCACCTGTTCAGTCCTTGATAGCCTCAGTATCTTTCTGTAGAAACACTTTTATCTCCAAGTCTCTTCTTAGTTTTTGAGGTGATTGTTCAGCATTCACTGCCGTATAAGAAAACTGATATTACGTACAGTACATCATAGCCAACACACACACACACACACACACACACACACACACACACACACACACACACACATATATATATATATATATATATATATATATATATATATATATATGTAGGTAAGTCTAACAGTTCTTCGAACAGTGCAGATGATGATTCTGCATGCAATTATGATTTATCCAGAACGACTCCGCAATACGTCTTGTTATCATAAAGCTTATCTAATTTTCCATGGTTGTAGAAGTACCAAATTCGTGCACATACAACTTCAATCCAATCTTGGAAACTCAATATATTTACTCTTTTCAGCTGTAGACAATCCAAGTTTAGTCAGGTGTACCTAAATCGAGTTGGTGAAAAGATTTCGACATCTCACTTTGGTAGGCTGTATATTCGTTATCCACCCATGCCTCAAGTATTCTTTTTGAAGAAACTTCATATTTTTGCAGCTGGAATTTATGAATCATGTTAACGATGCCTCAAAAAGAAACCTTAATGACGTCAACTCTTTTTCAATTGACGAAGTCATTTCATGTCTCTTAAATTTTATTTTTATTTTCTTATAAAGTCTTTTCGAAAATAATCATAATATTAAGAGATGGGAAATATCCTTAGAAAAAAAATGGTTGAAATGGTATTAAATATCTAATCTCCTGAATCGCAATAATTGTTGAAACATTCTTCTCGCAGATGAAGAGAAGAGAGGAATCAACAAGGATATGGTTTTACGATGAATGCAAAAAAAAAATATGGAAAAACACATGGCACTAATAACGAGGATGTCTCAAGGAGATTAAAATGGCAAGGAAACAGTAGCTAATAATCAGAGAACAAACATATTGGTGGCTCATAATGAGGAAAGATGGCTTCGTGAATTTAACACTCACAGTGTTACTAAGATCAATAAATAACAGGAATTCGCCAAGAACCATGATCACCCATATTGTGAAAAGCAGATTTGTTCTTTTGAATAGGCAGAAAGGGCGAAAAATATTCAAAAGATTGCGGTGTTGGTATGATTATATATACACTATAAAGAAAAATCAATCTTTTGCTTCTTAACCAAATACTGAGGACTTACAAACGTGTTTCCTGTAATTACACATATCATTTCTTCTTCTTCTTCTTCTTCTTCTTCTTCTTCTTCTTCTTCTTCTTCTTCTTCTTCAAGAACAGTCTCCTTTTAGCACGTGTGCGATCAATACTCTCCACAACAACCCATCCTCTGTAGCTCTTAGTATAGTTTATCTTTTCTTTATCTCTCCCAAAATCAGTTCTGCTATCCAATAACACAAGATCATTATCTATGTTTCTCGCTGCTTTCCTCTGTCTAGTTTTCCTTCAATATGTCGTGAGTGTCAATTTCTCCAAACCCTCTCTCTTTATTACGCGTCTCCACAATTTCGACAGTCGCTTTCTGGTGCTTAAAACAAGCGCCTTACTCGCTTTCATTTTCCTTAAAGGGTCTTTGATGCCCACATGGTGAGTTCATTCTCAGCATCCTTCTGCAGAAGCATATTTATTCTTTTCTTCATCTGTTGCAATATTGTACAGCATTCTTTTCTTTATATAAATGAATCTTCTTCTATTAGGTACTGGTTTCTCTACCGGACGTGGGCGATGCTGATTTTCCACAACATCCTATTCTTTGTACTTCTACACCCACAATTTTACTACCCGTTCTCATAAACTCGTCAGGTAGATGGCCATTTGCCCCCAACTGACCCTGTTGTCTTTGATATATCCTTTTTGTATCACATATGCCAAGCCATAAAAAACATTAAGTCCTAAACCTTTCCTCGTTGCTTACACTCTCCGTCAATGATATTCTCAGCATATTTTCTGTAGAAGGAATTTTCTTTTGCCTCATGTCTTCTCTTGATCTGTGAGGAAATTGTCCACTATTAACTGCCATTTAGGTGCATTGCTCTTATATAGCATTTCAAAACTCTCTTTCTTATGTATTAGAAGGTATATTTTGCTATTGCAATGTATGTTTGGATTTCGGCCTCACATTTTGCATCCTCTATTAAAAAAACTTACCAGATATTTAAACTTCTGTACTCGTTTGATTTCGACAGCTCCATTCCGTAGCTCGCATCTTCTACTTTTCCCTTGCTGATAATCATACATTCTTTCTTCTTACAATTAATAGTGAGTCATTTCAGATCAAACATCAGCTTATGTATCCGGCTTTGAACTTGATTTGATTCATCCTCTTAGGGATATGGGCGTTTGTGTGTCTGTGTGTGTTCGCTTGCTTGCGCGGGAATATAGGTTAGAAGGAGAGAATAAGGAAAGCATGTGTTGAAGTATTTACAAATATATATATATATATATATATATATATATATATATATTTATTTACTCGAGAATGCATTTTCGTAAAGTCTAAATAGAGATGAAAGTTGTACTCAGATTCCCAATGAAATTAGCCGAGCCGTAAGATAAGCGACTCATACTGAGACAGACTGTCATGTATGAAGCTTAGTAATACCAATCACAAAGTCACGGTTAAAGATAAAGTGTGCCACGAAAATTATTAGCAATTTACGAAACTAAGCTCTTAAACGTACTCGGATGACGTCTTGTACGGGGGCGTAGAAACAGACTGAGATCCAGTTAGAAATAAAGTTACAAGTTTTCGTTCGATGCATACTAAATTAAAATAAAACTATGTTCCATTAAAGCAAAAATCTTTCCTTGCAGTGATCAACATATATCTCTAACTCAATTTCCTGAATTTCCTCTAACCTAAAGACAACTGAATTTAAATCCACTGCATGAATTACATATATATATATATATATAGCTCTTGAAAATATATTTTCAATTGAGCAATGTTGAATGACAAGCTAATTCTAAAAACAACGGTCATCTGCGTAAATGCGAAGCTCTTCAGTAAAATGAATGGAGCACTTTGGCTGCTTGGCGTTTGTTTAGGTTTGTAAAAAACCATACGCTAGATTTAGTCCTGGCGAGTGAAGATGGCTCAGTGGTAGAACATGTGACTGTCAGCAAATCGGTTGGGTTTCGATCCGTGCTTGACATATTCGGTTGTCTAGTCGCTGAAGTGCTGCGGAACAGTACTCTCTGTGAATGACACGCACGCACGCAGATAGATAGATAGATAGATATGTGTGTGTGTGTGTGTGTGTGTGTGTGTGTGTGTATATATATATATGCGCACACGCTCTAGAGTATAACCTGTCTTTGACCGGGTCTCTCATCACTCGGATTTTTTGCCGTTCAATTGCAGCAGTTTAACTTTGAAGTCGACTCACCCCAAAATCAATATGTGTGTGTACATATATATATATATATATATATTACTTTAAAAGTTATGATAGCGGATGCTCATATTTGAAAAGAGACGCCCTGTTCATTTTTACTTTATACAGCTACGTGTTACGTCTATATTCCTGCGTATTCGAGAAATCTTTATAAATAATGTGCTCTCCAAGAGAGATCGAACCTGTGTCCCCGTTGTAAGAGAAACCACCGTTTGATCCGGTGTGATATACGACTCGGCTACTAATGTACTAAACTACTAATATATATCATGGTTATTATTCTTACGTCAAAGGTTATTATAGTGGAAACTCATATTTGAAAAAGACGCCCACTTGTATTTTTTTACTTTAAACGTTGTGTATTACGTCTACAGTTCTGCGTATTCGAGAAATCTTAATAAAGAAATATGCTCTCCGACAGAGATCGAACCTGTGTCCCTCTTTGTAGGCGTTGATCTGGCGCGCTTTACAACTCGGCTAAAAAGAGTGTCACAATACAGTAATGTCCTATTTTCCACTTGTTAAGGAAAGCATACTTCCTCATCGAGATATATATTTCTCGAAAGCATATATCCGTTCAATTTCGTACCAGAAACGTAAGCAAACTAAAGATGATGCTCTTCGTAACCAAGTGGCCAAATATATCTTACTACAATGAGGCATAGCAAGACTTGTCAATATACGCCCTTTGGAGTTTCTCTTTGTCTCTCCATTTGCAATATCTCTTTAGAATGGTGGTGATTATGGTTCTTCTCAACTTCCAGTTTTGTTGCGATAAGTAATGCTTGTTCCATTATAACTACCGTTTTTTATAATACTGTTGAGGGGTCCACCCCTTTTTATACAAATGGACTCACCCAGTATATACATATACTACTGCTACGGAAAGACTCGAGCGAACAGAGCAAGACCGAGGAGTCGAGTCCAGAGTGACAGAGTAAAAGGTTGTAGGTAACCGGAAGTGTGAGGGTGAGGTAACTGCGTTGTAGGAGTCACAGTGAGCGAGCACGTAGACTCAGTAAGAAGTCATACAGCGATAATTCAATACCAAAGACTGTATATATATTTTGCTACTAACCCGTATTCCTGGAACTACTAACCTGCTTTACCAGTTTGTATTATTACGTTAATACATTATTTTTATATATTAATTCCTGGCGTTTGTTATTTATTGGTACCGGATTTCAACCCGGAATCCACAACAAATACTTATACCTCCACTCATTTATTCTGATTTGTTCATGAATTTACTTACTGTTTCCTTGCCTTCAATGTGCCCTCTACGAATAAAATTCTCTAAACCTTCCTTCCCCATTAAGAATTTTTTTAAAATTTATCTTTCTGATTTTATCAGGAATTTGAAAACTTCATTTTTTTTTTCACATCTACCATGTTCTTCCCGGCATTCATCTGGAGATCTACATCTCTGTTGCTTTAAATTTGTTATCTGTGAAGAAATTGACTCACATACCCTGCCGTATAGTAAGCAGCTCATTTTTTTTTTTTTCAGTTACTGACATTTCATGATCCAGATCACGAGTCTCGCAAACTATCAAATTCATAAATACACCACATGTACTGTAGCCGTTGCATCATTGGTGTGTCTTAGGAAAAATAGCTTGACAGAGCCCAATCCCCTCCATCATGATTTGAATTCATTGTTTTCCTTCTCCTAGACGGGTTAGCAATCAAGACTCTAGGTCCCAATCTGTCCTGTCATTCACCCATAAGAAGTGATTGTTATGTACCTTTCTCAGTGGTATTTCGGCATAAGTGAATGTTACGACTCGACTTTATTTCGAACTCGGTTTTGTGTCTTCTCATACCGAACCGCTATCCATTTCACCATCACGCATCTTTTTCATCTTTAATGCATCTTTTTACATCTTTTTCTTTAATAACATTTACCGATCCCTTAATACTCGATTTCTGGGAAACATCTTCCATATTCCGATAAGTCTTCGGATTTCTGTTGTGTCTTTATGTATACTCTCCTGAGAGTTAAATTTATTCATCCATTTGATTTTGACGTCCCCTTCATGTAAATCCCACAGCAGGCTGTCCATTTAGTTGACAATCACGTATCAAAATGCTAGGAGGTCTGCTAGTTCTTTAGAAGCATCTCACTATAAAGAGTAAATAAATCCTGCAAGGAAAGATAAATTAGTCCTACTCATATTTCTATATTTTTTTGATATTCATTTAAAATCTTCGCTTTCTGCATGCAAACTGTTTCTTCCAAATAAAATTTACAATTTTTTTTTTTAATTATCATTTCTGTGTCGATAAATATTTCCTAATATTCCAAGTTGTTCTTCTAGTCGAATAAGTTTGTACAGTCTCTGAAACAATATTTAGATCTCTGTACGCTTCAAATGCTAGGATAATGTGATCCTGAAATTTTTTTTTTCGTTCCAGTGCCTTTAACAAAGTCACATGATCCTAACGCAATCTAACACATGTACTATTTCTTTGAATGTTAATTATTAGTCTTGCTATGCGGCTCACCGGGCTTATTCTTTTGTGTTGCTTATATCCATTTGCGTTTGGGTTCTTTGATAGCGCTATATAAACTACTGAGGTCTTCCGGTATTTCACCATTATCATATATTTCACTTATTACTTCAGTAAATTTATCAATCTCTGAATTGTCTGAGGCAGTCATCAAGTCTATTTCAGTCTTGATTTTATTTCTTCTCATCCTGGCAATGCTGACATAACAACGGATGTTATATCATGTTCTCCCATGCTTTAGATATTATAACTTTCCTCAGTTTTTATAAGGAATTCTGATATATATTCATTCCATTTAGGTATTATTTTTTATTTTTCTGTTATGATATTTACCTCTATTTTTTCTACATCTCACTGAAGAGCATGAT